GCCGTCTAGTATGTCTTACACCATTGTTTCACGCCTTATCTCGGAAAGATTCGACAACCAATGAATTGCTTTCATTTGCCTAAAAATGTGAGAATTATCGACAGAGAAAATGCCACTGTATTAGTAAAACCGGCTCTGGTTCAGATAACTGTGGCGTTTCCTGCAGGGAGAGAAAAACTCACCAGTAGCGCGCACACGGCGCGTACCGAGCGATGTGCTGCGATGATGCGGCGAAGGAAAGAACACTAACAGGCGCTGCCCTTACTGCGATGTGATAGATTAGCTCTTTATCAGTCCATGTTCGCCTTCAGGCGGTAGCGGCGCGGAGCGCGCAGGGGTAACCACTAAAGGTAATCACAGTGGAATCAGCATGTCTGTTGAGAAATGTTTCGCCAAATCTTGGGAAATACTTCTCCGCTGCTTTGATGTTCTGGTGCTGTTAATCAGTCATCATTCGTTTCTCCTTGCCTTCCCTTTGTCCTACTATTCTTTACCATTCATCGACAAAGTGCTACAAATTTCATTGTCCTGATTGTGAGACTGCAGTGGTGCAGCGCTCGCTTTGGTTTCGCTTCTCCGCGTTAGGCTGCGTTCATACTTTGCGGCAGCGTCCATCGACCATCAGCGTCTCGAGGGACTGGGGAAGTATGCATATCGATCTGGCGTACCAGCGTCTATCAGGGAAACCAGCGTCTACTAGCGACCAAGAGTACGGTGTTGTGTACTCCTACTTCCGATACTCTACTTCTAGTTGCTGGTGGACGCTGGTAGACGCTGCCGTTTACTAGATCGATGTCTATACTTAGTAGCAGACGCTGAACAGACGCTCGAAACGTTAGTAGTGGATTGAGCTCCGCCACAAAGTATGAACGCAGCCTTATCGCGGGGACGGTGCACACGTGACAGGTGCGCTCGACAGCATTTTTTTTCGCGGAACCTTCTATAAGTTAGCGCGAACGCGCGGTGATGGCACAAGGAAACAGATGCTGTGACCGTATGTTAACACCGACCATAATATTGGCTCTAGAAAAAAAATATTGGTCGAGTAAGAAAAATCCAAGGTCCAGTTACGTTGCAGCCTCACCTGTAATCATAGAGTCCCTGCGCAAGAAGTTCTTCATCGCATGATTGCACAAGTAGTTCGGTTTCATTGGTGCGGCTCTGTTTGCTCACATTGTTCTCCTTATCGTCTTCAGAAATTGTGTCCATTTTCTTCCCAAAAGCATCTTCTGGCCATTGATTACGCTTGGTAGGACGTGTGGTACGCGGTGACCTGGAACTCAGCGAAGCTCATGAGTTTACTGTAGAGATCACCAGTGCTAAAAAAAGCTGAGTCAACAGATTTCATCCCTTTATGGCCTCTACCACTTGTGACATCTGTCCGAGACGACTCACATTCTTCCAAAGGGAGCAGATGGCTAAACTTGACCTCGTTTATGTCCGAGAGACAGCCCCTTTCTTTACTGCAGTTGCTCCCGGACCAATCTTACACAGATGAGAACAGCCCCAAGACCCCCTATTAAGTCGGGTGCTGACATCAGGGCACATCATCTATTGTGGAAATCACAACAGAAGGGGTCACGTTTGGCTTTTAGGGAGTCTTTCTGCCCTCGTAGAAAGAAATTTTCCCGAGTACTGATTTTTCGACCAATATTCCGGGAAAAGTTGATGGGATGGTGGGAAGGTTGTGAAAGAGGGTCGTAGTGACTGAGAAATCGGGGTGGGGTATATTATAAGAATTTCACACAGCGCGATGAAATTCCTAGCTCAACTAAATAACCTATGGACGCTAGCCGTATTTTAGAGGAACTACATCCATAGGTAATTTAGTTGAGCTAACAATAAGTAAACGCTGTCAAAAAGCCATTAATAGCAATCAGGGCACGTCCTACGTTGGAGAAT